AGAGACAGAGAGCATGAGAGGGAGGAGGGTCAGAGGGAGAAGCAGACTCCCTGCCGAGCAGGGAGCCCGATGCGGGACTCGATCCCGGGACTCCAGGATCGTGACCTGAGCCGAAGGCAGTCGCTTAACCAACTGAGCCACCCAGGCGCCCCGGGAAGCTGATTTCTCACATTTTGCCAGTCAGCCCTTCCCAGTGAGGGGGCTGAGAGAGGATCTGTGGCCGCAGGACCTTACCGAAGGAGCCCAGTCTTCCTCCCTTCTTTGCCTCCAGAGGCAAGCTGACTTCCTTTCTGATTGCAGAGCCGGGGCCAAGAAGCCGAGGGGCCTAAATGAAGCTCAGAGCCGAGAGACTGTGTGCACAAGGCAGAGCCTCAGGAGCTCTTGGGAGCTTTAGGTGGAGGAGGCTTTTATAGCTGCTGCTGGCTGGTGGAATTTGTGCCCTCCCAGGAGGGAGTGGGAGCAGGAGTTTGTGGGGAGTCTCCCAAGCTGGTTAGGACAAGAACAAGAAGCACTAGGGAAGTTTGCATGAGTTCAGGTTCAAGACTCCCTCCATCCTAGCTCATCTCCAAAGAGTTGATGTGGTCCCGCACCCATTTCTTCTGTGGGTTGGCACACACCTGGCGGTGCTTCCGGGTGACGAAGCTGTGGGAGAAGAGGACAGGATGAGACCTGGTCAGCGCCCGGACAGCCAGTTTTGGGGATGAGGTGGACTGAGCCACAAGGGGCTGAAGATGATGGTACTGGGGTGGGGCGTTCTTGGAGCTCTGTAAGGTTGGATTTGTAGCTTTTAAGGAAAGGACATTTCCTCTGCTGTTGGGTCGTAGGGCTCCCAACCAAAAGCAGATCTGTGTGCATGTTAACCCCCACACAAACCCATGCAACCTGGAGAGCTAAGGGCATAGGGACCCTGAGGAGTCTAGGATTGAGCTCGTCAACCACTAGCTTTCCTCAGTGCATCTCGGTTTCAGACTCTGTGCTGGGTGCTCAAGATGCAGAGAAGAAGAGGTGTCTTCTAGGAACTGAGTCATGGTTGACTAAGTGAGAGATAAGAAGTGGTTAAAAAAAACAACCAAAAGTGCGATTTGGCTTTAGATAATACAGCCACAGGGTGGACGCTCAACAGATGAATACATCTATGCGTGTGTGCATCAGTGACAGACATGACCTTGGGTCTTGATTTCACTACTCATTAGTGCATTCACCTTGGCAAATCACTTTGGGCCTCTGAATCTATTTGTTTACCTCTAAAATATAGATAGAAATCATTCCTACTTTGCACTGTTGTTGTGAGACTCAAATGAGATAGTATTGTGGAGGTGTGGAAAATACCACACATGTATTGTTATTGGGATGTTATGGGATTCTTCTTTGGGAGGGATCAGAGCCACATGACAAAGGTCCTGGTACTGGGTATCAGTGCTCAGCGAGGTCGAAGGCCCCGAGGTATAGCTGTTGTCAAAGCACTTCTACCAATGAACCCCGCCGGAACGTGGAGGCCTCTGGGAGGGAGAGGCCTTGTTTCCACAGGTGTTGATGGTAGGCGTTGGAGGTATAAAAGCCTGCAGGGCACGGCCTCAGTCCAGCTGCCTGCCTTGCCTGTTTGCTGGGAGACCGGCTCCATCTGGGGGAGACCGTGGGCCTAGTGAGCGGCGCTGCCCATTAACATGTTACTTTTGGGCCAGCCCTGTCTACTTGGACCTTTCTCCTTTCGGCTTCTTTAAGATGTTTTCCTGCACCTTTATGAGCCTAAAGGTTTTCAGACAAAGTGAGGACTTAGGTCGTCTGGTGAGAATGAGGGTTTCTCGGTTTCTTTTCAGGTTCTATCCTGGATAGTGTTTGTTCTCGAGGAAGCTGCCTCCCCTTTTCTGAAACTCAGAGTCACTTGACCATCTCTCTTTCTTCCATTCTAGTGTGCAGAGGAGAGAAAGGGAGCAGATGGAGTATTCTGGGCTCTCATGCCTCCTAGTGTTTGTTTGCTTATTTGGGGTGGTGAGGGAGCTTCAGACCAAGCCCCTGCCCTTGTTCAGCCACGAGTCCGACAGGAAATCCTGCAGACTTGCTATCCTCTCTCTTGGCCCCCTCAGCCAGTGGCCAGGAAATCAAAAGGGCAGGAAACGAATATCTAGAGTGAGGGCTTCTCAGGCCTCCATTTCCTCCTGAAGAACGTGAGACTGAGGAACAACCCCTCCTGGCTAAGCTAAGCTGCTCTCCCTGCCCCCACTTTGGGGACCTCCTACTTGCCTGACGCCCCTCCTGCCTCTCTTCCTGCCTGTTCTTTTGGGAGCAACCTCCTCCGCCTGCCCCTTGAGAGCAGGTGTTCTCAGAATTGCTGCCCTTTTCTGTGTTTTTCTCCCAAGTCTCTGGCCCTCAGTCTGGCACAGTGCGGGGGCTTAATGGGTGTTTATTGAATGAGTTAGTGAATGAACTGCATTCACTCATCAAGTTTGTCACTTCTGTGTATATAATAGTACATTTGGAGAAGGAGGAGAAGTTAACACTTATCAGGCACCAACTGTGTGTGCCAGGATATATTCCAATTTCGTTTTTCATTTCCTTGTTTTCCCTTTGACCCAGTGAGGGAAGTACTTCTTTTTCACTCCACTTCGCAGATGAAGAAACGGAGGCTCAGAGAGGTTAACTGCTGGGTCCAAGCTCCTGCCACTGCCAATTCTAACCAAGGCTGACTAGCTCTGGGGCCATTGTTCACCAAGACTCTGCTAAAGATTGCCACTCTCCTCTCAGGAGACCCTTTCCTCCTATAAAAGAATGTCCTATCTCTAGCCCCAACGCTGTTTTCTAGCTGCAAACCCCTCTTCTCACGCTCCTTGCTGGACATTGCCACAGGGTTTTCGTGCTGGCACTTTGGTTCTTTCCTCTTTAAACAGCTCTTCCTTGAGACTTGGCGGGGGCGGGGGGCGTCCGCCCTTCTCCAGCCGTCTGGGTAGAAACCTCAGTCACTTAACCCCCCTCTCGTCCTTGCTCCTGACCTCACCTCACCTGCCAGGGCTTGCTGACTCCACCTGTGATGGTTTCCTACCCCATCACTCCTTCCCTTCCCCTTCAGGTCCTGCTTAGCCTCAATACTGCTCACATGGATAACCGTAACAGCCTCTTAACTGGACCTGACCTTTCTAGGCTTTTCCCTGTGCCAGCTCATCTCACTCGCTCTAACGCAGCGTCATTGTGCTGACACTCGAGGCCCTCATTGCTTTTCTACACGGGGATGCTGCATCAACCAAAGGAGAGTCCTGGCGACATTCGCTCTGCCTAGTGTACCCAGTCCCTCAGGCTTTTCTCAAACACCTTTTGCAGCAAACTTCCCCTCACCCCCGAGGCTGGATGTGCTTCCTCTCTCCTTTTGTAATTTTTTTTAATGCAGGGTTACTCCAGTCATTCTGCATTTGTCTTTTCCTTGTATCAGACTGTGAGTCCCATGAGGGCAGGGATTGTGGTTTATTCATCTCTACCTTCCCGTAACAGGTGCTCAGAAAGATTTTTTTTCTTTTGAAAAATATTTGTTTTCAGAGATAAAATTAGTAGTGCTAAATATTACCACTATACTTTGAAGGACTCACCAGAACAAAAGGTAATTCTGAATACCTATAGCTTTGCAAGTGTCACAGGAATTTTTGGATTAAAAAACTTCGAGGGATGCCTGGGTGGCTCAGTCGGTTAAGTGTCTGCCTTCGGCTCAGGTCATGATCCCAGAGTCCTGGGATCGAGCCCCGCATCGGGCTCCTTGCTCAGTGGGGAGCCTGCTTCTCTCTCTGCCTGCCGCTCCCCCTGCTTGTGCACTCTCTCTCTCACAAATAAATAAAATCTTAATAAAAATAAAAAAACTTTGCTGTTATATAGGAAACTTCATGATTACCCCATTTTCATTCTTTAAGTCTCTATCATCTTAAATTTCTTTTTTTTAATTGTACACTTTATTTTTTATTTTTTTAAAGATTTTATTTATTTATTTGACAGAGAGAGACAGTGAGAGAGGGAACACAAGCAGGGGGAGTGGGAGAGGGAGAAGCAGGCTTCCTGCCGAGCAGGGAGCCCGATGTGGGGCTCGATCCCAGGACCCGGGGATCATGACCCGAGCCGAAGGCAGATGCTTAACAACTGAGCCACCCAGGCGCCCCTCATCTTAAATTTCTTAAGCAACCATCATTGTTGACCTTTCTGTAGTAGAAAGAGGAAGCTCCAAAGACAGGCTCTATCCCTCGCTTACTGTGCAACCTTGGGCAAGTCACCAAACCTCTCTGGGTCTCAGGTTCATTATCGAAACATGGAGAGAATTATGCATACCTGTAAGGGTTGTTATAGTGAAATTTAGGGGTAATCCATGTAACACATTTGATACACAGTAGGCACTTTCTAGGTAGTAGACTTAATTTTTTCAAATGTATTAGTTCGCATATTTAAAGGAGAATCTCATGTCATTATTTCTTCACCAATTGATAATTTTCTTTTAAATACACTTGACTGTAACTAGGGCTCTGGCCTCTGACCTCTCCTCCTTAGATCCTCTGAGGTTGTAGGTGGATTCAACTGGGTGTGGGATAGGGGGAATGTGGGGTTCTTAATTGGAGAAAGATGACTGTGTCGATCTTTTCTCCATGCAGGAGCATTGTAGGTCACATTAAAGTAAAAGTCATACTCCTAAAGATCAGAGACCTGACCCAGTTCGTCAGAGTGGGGAGAACCGCCCCAGGAGCCCCTTATCTAATCTACGTGATGGTGGGTGGGGGGTCTGAAGCTGCAGAGGGAGGAACTATGGCTAATTGAGCAGCTGGAAAATGGGTAGGAGTGGATAGGGTGCCCTCTTAGAGGGCTCCTGTGGGGGGCTGGCTCTGGGACAAGAGGTGTCCCTTCCTCACTCCCCCGTCCTCCCCACTAGAGGGTCCACAGGGCTGGGACTCACACGACTGCTGGTATGGAGCACTTGCTGCTGGTGTAGAAATACTCCTGGATGTGAGTGAAGGGCAGTCGGCGGGAGATGTAGGCAAAGCAGCAGGGTGTGGTGTCCGAAGCATCTGGGAGGAGAAAACAAGGAGACCCCTGTATTCATTGCCATTGCACACAGGGTATTGGGCTGGGTATGTTATCTTGGATAGACTCTTATCCTCCTTTAGCTGGAACTGAAGCTCAGAGAGGTAAAGTCACTTGGCCGTGGACACACAGTAGCAGAGTGGGGGATTCCAACAGAGGATTGAGAAGATCTCTGCAATCTTTCATCTAATCCTCGAGTCTTGCTTGTATCCTTCCCTCTACACCATAACCCTTTGCCTTTGGCTCTACGGATACGCTGGGCTTCCTCCTATCTCGTCTTGGGCCCCTTGCCCTTATTCTTGCCCTCCCAGAATCCTCAATAGATTCAGAACTTTGTTTCTTTGAGACCTACGGTGGGTTGGGGGAGGCTTCCAAAACTCGGACTTCATGGCTCAGCCTCAACCCTCAAGAGGGGCCTGAAGATGTGTATTGCATCCTGGGAGCCTCTGGCTGAGGCATGATAAGAAGGGCTCTGAACAGAGAAGGAGGCCTTTTTGTTGCTCAGTTAATTCAGGATGACCCTGGGAAGTGTCAGTTGCCACTTCCCGGTAAGGTAGGAGTGTTAAAAGCCAGCTACAACTGGGTTTGAACACCAGTTTCCCCACTTCCTGTGTGACCTCAGGCAAGTTACTTAACTCCACTCTAAGTCAAGCTCAACTTCTCTAAGAGTAGTGGCAAGTATTAAATGACATGGTACATGCAGAGCAGTCAGCATAATACTTGGTCCATACTAGGCTTTTAAAAAATCCTCTCCCGGGGCACCTGGGTGGCTCAGTTGGTTAAGCGTCCCACTGTGGATTTCAGCTCAGGTCATGATCTTGGGGTGGTGGGATCGAGCCCTGCGTCAGGCTCCTTGCTCAGTGGGAGTCTGCTGGAGATTTTCTCTTTCCCTTTCTCTCTGCCCCCCCCACTCTCTCCCTCTCTCTCTCTCAAATAAATATATCTTTAAAAAAATTAAAATTAAAAAAATTCCTCTCCCAAGCCCCACTTTTTCCATCTATGAAATGGGGAGAATATGACTGTCCCAAGCTTAGAAGTTTCTTAGGAACCCTGCTGGTGATAGGCATAAGTTAGCTGTGTTTCAAGGTCAGTTCAAGGCTGCCTCTGCCTGCTAATAGCCCCAGCATCGGTCTGCGCTCAGCACCTGGACGGCTTGGGTGTAGATCTCGAGGACAGAAGACTTGAGCAGAGAGGGTCCCTGCTGTGTGGTGGCTCCAGGGACAGCTGGACATCTGGGTAAAGCACTATCTGGGAATATAAATCACTGGGTTCCGACAGCATAAATGCTGCAGCCGGAAAGGAGGGCGAAGTCTGGGCCAGCATGAGGGTCTGGCTCAGGCTGCGGTGCTCGGGACCTGACTTACATGGGGAGGCAGAGGCAGGAGCGCAGACGGCGACGGCGGCCAGCAGAACTGCAAAGGTAGCTGCGGAGACCTTCATGGTACCTGCGGGTATAGGCTGCGGGAGAGCCACCTGCTGTCTCGGGATCCTCTGCAGGGATCCTCTGCTGCTGAGGCTGGACCTTTATAGAGTCAGGCCAGTAGAAGGGGCGCCCCCCCAAGGGGAGTTTCCAAAACAGCGGCCATGGACTGCTTGATATCATAAATGAAATTGCACAAAACGGAAAAGAAAACTGAAACAGCCTCCGGAAATTTGAGTCTCTCTCTCTCTCTCCTCCTCACCGCTTCTGGTCCAGAGTGAGCTCATCGGTTCCTTCTTTGCCCTCCAGAAGAGCTAATATAGGCTCTGGTGGTGGAAAACCTCCTCCTCTGATGGCATCTTCAGCTTCCTCTTCTGGGGCAGGGGTGCTCATCAGAGGTCAGGATGCTGCTTCCCCGGGGGCAGAGGAGGGCAGTTAGGATGGATTAGAAATAAACTCAGTGTTTATTTGGTTGCTTTCAATGTTCTTGCTCATGCATTACAGATCCGTATTTCCCCTCTCATCCATGGAAGGGAGGGTTCTCTGACATATAGCCCCCAAAGGAGGTGAGAACACCCACCCGATGGTGCCAGCCACTATTCTAAAGGTTTTACAAGCTCAACTCATTTACTATTATTATGCTCATTCCTGCCCCCCCCCCCATTTTACAGATGAGGAAATTCAGTAAACGCTGGGATCCCATCTCCTTTCTCAAATCTTCTTGGATACAAAAGTTACAGAATTTGAAAGCTGCAGAGGACCCTAGGGATCATTTCTTCCATGTCCTTCAATTGCGGAGGAGGAAACTGAGGCCCAGAGAGCAGAAATGACTTGCTAAGAACACACAGCAAATGAACGATGGGATCAGAACCTGGGTGCCCTGGTTCTTGCTTCAGTGCCCTGTCCACTCAGTACTACCTACCATGAAAATGTTCATGGTTGGGGACATCTGTGAACTGAACCCATGTGGGGTCTTGATTAGAGACAAGTTCCTTACTCCATTCCAATGACTTGGGTTCAGTAACTCTTCATCCATTCCTTTTGTTGTTGTTGTTAAAGATTTATTTGTTTATTTTTGAGAGAGAGCGAGCAAGAATGAGCTAGGGGGGAGGGGAGGAGAAGGGGCAGAGGGAGAAGCAGACTCCCCGCGGAGCAAGGAGCCCGACGTGGGGCTCCATCCCAGGACCCTGGGATCATGACCTGAGCCGAAGGCAGATGCTTAACCAACTGAGCCACCCAGGCGCCCTCTTCATCCATTCCAATTCGGATAATTCAGAATAGTGACAGTTTGGCCTGGACTGGGCTGGACTGAGGTTGAAATCTGAATTATCTAAGAGAAAATTGTCTATGGACAGTGACAAGAGCAAACACATTTAAAAAGAAAAGTAACTTAAAAAAAATAGTCTCCTACCAAGAATATTTTCTTGCTAGCTCTTGTGACATACATAACTTGGGGGCTGAGGGTGACTGACTGACCTAGAATGGGAAGACCTCTCGTTTCTCCTCACAGGGACTTTGAGGAAGGGTGGTTATTCTCATTTCACAGAAGAGGTCATTAAGGTCCTCAGAGTCATGTGGTTGATCAGTGGGATTGAACCGAGGTGCTTCTGACGACCAGGCTCGAGCCTTTTCCACTGAGTCACATCAGTCAGGCAGTTAGCCGTTACCGCGTCCTGTCTAGGTGCCGGCGGCTGTTCTAAGCCTGTCCTCGGAAGCCTCTCCTCCCCGCCTCATGACCTATTCACCCATTTACAATAGAAACGCAATTTTGAAAACCATGGCCATCTCATTTAAAGAAACACATGGAAGCACTTTTGAAACATTCATCTATCCACACAAAAATGGTCTACCTGTTTTAATTGTTCCCCTCACACAGTCCCCTTAGTTACCAAACATGTGGGAGGCCGTGTAGCCTGGTGGCCAAGAGCAGGGTCTTTGGTGTTTTTCCCATTTATTAGACAGCCTTTGGCCAGATACTTAATCTCTCTGGCTTCAGTTCCCTCATCTCTAAACCAGGGGTGATAATGGTCCTCCCCACAGCTGTTGAGACAGTTAAGTTCCTATGAATGTGTTCGTGTGCCTGACGCATGTTAAGTACTTAATAACATTAGCTGTTATTATCACGTTATTATAATGGCAGTCCCTTTAGGGATATTCTATACTTAGGCTTTTCAGCAGTCTAGATCAGACTCCCAATTAATATGGATTAGTGAGCTTTATCACAAAAAGTGTTTGTTTTTAAGCAGACAGGTCGGTTAAGGTGTAAGTTAAGCGACTCGCTGAGGTCGCATAGCCCACAGTGGTAGAGCTCGACATTGAACCCAAGTCTGTCTGGGTTCATAGACTTTCTACCACACTGCATTGTTTCTAGAGAAATCCTGAAACTTCTGCTAAGGTTCAGTTTGTCCATGTGAGCTCTATTTCTGTTTCCTTTCTCTGTCTCAGTTTCCCTCTTTGAGGAAGAAAGCAAAGTATTTTCCTGGATACCAAATATGCTGAGTTGGGACACTAGCTGAGGTAAGAAGTGAGATGGACCAACATGATCCTCATCCTTAATCCTGGTGAACCTTTCTGCTGTAAGTGTGTGTGTGTGTGTGTGTGTGTGTGTGTAAGTGGTAGTGAGAATGAGGGGTAGGTAGGATGGTGGTGTTGCTGAGCAGGAATAGGCAATGGGTATAGGCAATAGGAGTCTATTTCGTCCTTTTTGGTGGTTCCAGTGGATTGTGGGAACCAGAGAGAGGGTAGACCCTAATTGTAATTCCATTTCTACCCCTCATTACCTTCTGTGCAAAATCCGGTCTGGACTCATGGAATCAGTATATTCTCTGGTTTTAAGGTACTGATTCCATGAGGAAATCAAAGTGCAGGTTCAATGAATGACAACTATCCTTATGATTCACCCAGCATTTTAGGTCCCTGAAAATGAGGGATGCCTGTCTGTGTGACCCATGCATGGGTGGTTGAGAGAATCAAGGAGAGTAATGACTGTGGACGTGCTTAGGAGACTGTAAGGTGAGGTATGAACATCAAGAAGCCCTCTCTGCCCTTCCCCCACCTCCCGCCAGTGCGTTTGGTCTACACCCAGTCAGTTAGTCCTTGTTTACCTGCGAACTATTCCTGTGAATTGCTGTGAGCCAGGCACTGTTGTAGGTGCTGCGGATGCCACGGTGAGCAAGTCAACCACCTGTCCCCTGGAGCATGCACTTGTGTGCGTGCGTGCATGCATGCGTGTGTGTGCGTGCGTGCATGTGCATGTGGTGGGCGGAGAACTGGACAGTAACAAGTAAAAATATCCTTTATTGTGAGTCACCTTTGCACTGGTCTTGTCTTAACTACCTGGACAAAGTAACAATGTCTTATGGTTTTTCTTTTCTAGTTGCTTTTTGTATTCTCCCCCTGCTTTCCACCAAAATCTTGGACACAATAGATGCTAAATTCATGCTGGTTTAATCTGAATAACTTTTTTTTAAAAGATTTTATTTATTTATTTGCCAGAGAGACACAGCAAGAACAGGAACACAAGCAGGGGGAGTGGGAGAGGGAGAAGCAGGCTTCCCACTGAGCAGGGAGCCCAACGTGGGGCTCGATCCCAGGACCCTGAGATCATGCCCTGAGCTGAAGGCAGACGCTTAACGACTGAGCCACCCAGGTCCCCCAATCTGAATAACTTCTTACAGCATCTTGAGTAAGTACATGGGCCCTTTAGAGTTGGACTCCTAGGCTCGCACGCGGCTCTATTACTTATCAGTGCCGACCTGAGCAGATTGCTCACCTTCTCTGGGCCTCAGTTTTGTCTGTGAAGTGAGAGATTGCTTCCAACCCGTTTTGGGCAATGGAGCCCTTTAAGAATCTGACGAGAGCTGTGAACGCTTTCCACAAACACTTGGAGGCCCACACAGACACATGTAATTTTGTGTGTACGAGGTTCACAGACCCAGCAGGCTCATTGACAGGCCTCTTGAGTCCACAGGGCTGGTTGTCATCAGCGCCCCCTCCTCCTGGATGTGAGTGCATTCCTCGCTAGAGCTAGACGCACACTCTTTCCAGCCTAGCTCAGGCCCTCCCTTGCCCTCCTGGCCCAGTCTCTCTTTTCCTCTTTCATTCCTTCCCTGAGCTCAGCTGGCTGCCTGCCCAGCCTGACACTGTGATGTTAGGAAACCGAAGGCAGGCAAAGAAGAGAAACCTCATTCCCTCTGAGTTCCAAAGCTTTGCTCAGACCCGGAGTTCCCCTCACGATCATGTGGGGGAGCAGCTCTGTTTTTTCTGGCTGCTTTAAAAAAAAATGTCCAAAGCAGGGAAAGTCCCTCCATTGTCTAGGAATCCCAGTCTGGGCCCCAAGAGAAGCCCGAGGCAAAGTTGTTCCTCCTGAGGAGCCTTGATTTTCTCCATCTGCAAATTGGAGAGCTGCTCTCTGGCTGCGTCCCTCCTCTGTCCTTGTTTACAAATATAAGTATTTCTCCCAGGAGGCAGCTAGCTGGTCTCTCACCCCTGTGTCCACAGGGCCCTGCCTGGGGTAGGTGCTCTAGCAGTGCTGTTGGAGGGTCTGAAGGGGCAGCAACACGGAGGAATTGCCCAGCTGGAGGCAGGATTCGAACCCCTATCCAGGACTCTTTCTGCTGCACCTTGTCTTTCCTTTTGGTCTGGTCTGTTCTTTCTCTGCCATTCTATCCTGCACCTCCGCGTGCACCCCCCACATGCACCTCCTGTGCATTTCACCAGGTTAGGGGGACTAACTGTGACAACTGTTTTATAGTTTCAACCACATTCTGGCTGGAGGGCTGCAGCTCGGCCTCCCCCACGCTTCTCACCTTCACCACACGGGACAGTCAGCTATGTACACCTGCTTGTTTTCTGCAGCCTGTGGTGTGTTTGTTGAAATGCTCACCCCTCAGGTTACTGGAGGAGCCCGCCACAAGATGCCTCGGGGATGGGGCAGCCCTGGGAGTGGGGCCCGGGGAGAAGCATCCGTTCTTACAGATTTGCTGAGTGACAGCTGATCTCAGATGCGCTCCTCCTGATGCTTTGGAGTCTGTTTTTTTGTTTTTGTTTCCCCCAGCATGTTTGCCAGAAGCAGCCCTTT